TTGATGATTTTTTAAGGCTACACTCCTTGACCCTATATGAATACAATGAATGAACTCGATCTTCAATTAAAATATTTACACTAGTGGATACCGCAAAATCTTATGTTATACTTAATGAAAGTATGAATAAACTTTAAAGTGTTAGTGAATCTATTGTTTTGATGGGATATGCATTCTACAAAACTAGTTTCAATGATCCAACCATCAAACATGTTTATATATACTTCAAGATCGCATGCGCCAAAAATTGCAAAAAAACAAACATTCAGAGATCAAGTAATGAGACAAAACTTTTCGACGGTTATCAACGAAAAATCACGATTTAACGGTTATTTTAACTCTAATTTTGATGATTTTTTTACAGCTACATTCCTTGACCCTATATGAATACAATGAATGAATTCGATCTTCAATTTAAAATATTTACACTAGTGGATACCACAAAATCTTATGTTATACTTAATGAAAGTATAAACAAACTCTTAAGTGTTAGTGAATCAATTGTTTTGATGGGATACACATTCTACGAAACTAATTTCAATGATCCAACTGTCAAACATGTTTGTATATACTTCAAGATCGCATACACCAAAAATTGCAAAAAACAAACATTCAGAGATCAAGTAATGGGATAAAACTTTTCGACGGTTATCAACGAAAAATCACGACTTAACGGTTATTTTAACTCTAATTTTGATGATTTTTTACAGCTACATTCCTTGACCCTATATGAATACAATGAATGAATTTGATCTTCAATTTAAAATATTTACCCTAGTGGATATCACCAAATCTTATGTGATACTTAATGAAAGTATAAATAAACTCTTAAGTGTTAGTGAATCTATCATTTTGATGGGATACACATTCTATGAAAATAATTTCAATGATCCAACCATCAAACTTGTTCATACAGCAAAAATCGCAAAAAACAAACATTCAGATCAAGTAACGAGACAAAACTTTTCAACGGTTATCAACAAAAAAATCACAATTTAACGGTTATTTTAACTCCGATTTTGATGATTTTTTACAGGTACACTCCTTGACCCTATATGAATACAATGAATGAATTCGATCTTCAATTTAAAATATTTATATTAGTAGATACCACAAAATCTTATGTCATGATGATCGATGAAAATTGAGGATTTTGTAAAAGGAATAATATGCAAGTCTTGAGTTCCATTGGCAAGGTTTAAACTTTTGAGAAAGGCTTCACAACCTTGAAAACAAAAACTCTTTCATTTTGCATATCCTTGCACATTTAATATTTTGTAATAGACTAGTAGTGTATAGATGTTTGTTTATTAGGCTCTTATTTTCAAGTGTAGATGTAGTACTTAAATGACAAATGTGTTTTAATGTTTTGAAGTAATATTTATGTGATAATGTGTGGTATGTGAAAATTTAAGGAAAAAAATACATTTTTCTTAACGGGTCATAGCGAGTCATAATGGGTCGGATCACTTTACGCGTTGGGTAAAGTGACCCGACCTTTAAGGACCCGTATTAAACGTCGGTTGATTAAATTCGTCTCTCTTTTTTTTTCCGTATTAATTAGCTCCAATCCAAACAAGGCGTCAAATATTAAATTTTCGCCAATTTTGTTTGCAAATTTATGGTCTTTGTATTGATTTAGGTTCCTTTTCCAGACATCACTTTGGTTTGTTTGTTTGGAAAACTGAGGTTTTAATTTAATATTGGTTTTTAGCACACTAGTCTTTTTATGTATTGCATACAGAGTTTTTGTGACATCCCACATCGCCCAGGGGAGTGATCCATAAATGTATATTCTCACCCCTACCTAGCACGAGGCCTTTTGGGAGCTCACTGGCTTCGGGTTCTGTAGGAACTCCGAAGTTAAGCGAGAAGGTGGCTAGAGCAATCCCATGATGGGTGACCCACTGGGAAGTTGCTCGTGAGTTCCCAAAAACAAAACTGTGAGGGAATGGTAAGCCCAAAGCAGACAATATCGTGCTACGGTGGTGGAGCGGGCCCGGGAAGTGATCCGCCCTGGGTCAGGATGTGACAATTGGTATCAGAGCCAATCCCTGGCCGGAAATGTGCTGACGAGGACGTCGGGCCCCTAAGGGGGGTGGATTGTGACATCCCACATCGCCCAGAGGAGTGATCCATAAATGTATATTTTCACCCCTACCTAGCACGAGGCCTTTTGGGAGCTCACTGGCTTCGAGTTCCGTAGGAACTCCGAAGTTAAGCGAGAAGGGGGCTAGAGCACTCCCATGATGGGTGACCCACTGGGAAGTTGCTCATGAGTTCCCAAAAACAAAACCGTGAAGGAATGGTAAGCCCAAAGCGGACAATATCGTGCTACGGTAGTGGAGCGGGCCCGGGAAGTGATCCGCCCCGGGCCGGGATGTGACAATTGGTATCAAAGCCAATCCCTGGCCGGAAATGTGCTGACGAGGACGTCGGGCCCCTAAGGGGGGTGGATTGTGACATCCCACATCGCCCAGGGGAGTGATCCTTAAGTGTATATTCACATCTCTACCTAGCACGAGGCCTTTTGGGAGCTCACTGGCTTCGAGTTCTGTAGGAACTCCGAAGTTAAGCGAGAAGGGGGCTAGAGCAATCCCATGATGGGTGACCCACTGGGAAGTTGCTCGTGAGTTCCCAAAAACAAAACTGTGAGGGAATGGTAAGCCCAAAGCAGACAATATCGTGCTACGGTGGTGGAGCGGGCCTGGGAAGTGATCCGCCCCGGACCGGGATGTGACAGTTTTGGTCTGTCCTCGATATATTACCTTGCACATCAATTTATTCCTTATCGTTAGGCATTTTGTGTGTATAATAATGTGGCCCAAATGTGGGGCCAACAAAATCAATCAAATTGTACCACTTGAATTTAAAAAATTGAAAATTAAAAACCATAAAAAGAAGGAAATAAATACTAAATAAATAAAAATTATAGCAATTCGCTGTCATTTTTTGTGGGAGCCAAAGTGGGAAATGATTCCTCCTTGATCAGCCTCATCTCCTCTCTAGGTGGCAGTCCTACTTTTTTCTTACGAAGGGATTGAGCAACCAACACCATTCATGATACTTGGTCAGAATGCCCATAGCGACATGGTCCTTCTTCATGTCATGCTTAGTCTTTGGAGTTGAGCCAAATTTCTGCACATGAAAGAAGATATTCAATACCAAAGTCAAGAGTATCTCACTACTAGACTTCAAGCAGACAAATAATAGAGCAGTTCGCTTACCTTTAATAAACTGCATTCAGACGCGCAGCTTAGCCAAACAGTCAGACTCTCACTCACCATTGGTCTTCTCAGTGTCTTTGGCCTATTTTTGGTCCCCCATGCTTGAAGAATCAAAAAGCTTATGACACGTAGACCTTAGTTGCCCCACGCCATCCTTATGACCAATTTCGAAGAACTACCAAAATTTGTTAACGGTCAAATCCAACTCAAAGAACCTACTCAGGTCAGAAAATTCCACCATCACACAAATTGCATTGGGAGAACATTGCGCTGAGCACACTTCATGGAGCATATCACCTCTTGGTAGAAGCGCAACATAGGAAAGGTAAATCCCACCATAAAATAGTATGAATAAAATTGATAGCTATCCTCTATGCTTGAAGCAGCTTCAGTTCACAGTTCATGTACATCTGTCTTTCACTCGCCTCACATAAACTCTGGATGGGATTACATGCTTAAATTTCTCAAGAAAATCCAAGAATAATTCATCGGAGCCAATCTTGGCTTGTAGAGCTCTAAAATATCCTACACCATACGAGTAAATAAATACTCGTGACATCTTTTATCTCACACCATACGAGTAAATAATTACGAATTGCAACAACAGTAAATTGGAGCTAGATCCCTCCTACTTGTAAAGTTGTCACTTGCGTCCTTCGGTCAACGTCCGCTGGTTTTTCATTCATTTTCAGGGGCAAACGGTTCTACTCACACCATATATTGTTACCTAGTCCCTGAGACTCCATTTTCTTCTCTTGTTTCTACTTCAATTTCGGATGACTTGAGAAGAAAATGACAGGTACGAGGCTAGGGAAGCAAACAACATGACTGAACATGTTTACATATTTTGTAAGAAAAACAACCGTGACGGAATGATCAAATTGACACATAATTAACTGATGGAGGACTACAGACTTAAACAACCCTTATTTAAACTGTTTAGTCATACAAGGAAAGGAATAGAGGCAAAGTCAAACTCTGAATTAATCACAATGTTTTAAAAGGCTTGCCTCAAGGCGCACCTAGGCACCCTATGAGGCTGGGCTTGAGGGTTGCTGCCTTTGTTTTGAGGAAGTGGGCGGAAGGCGCTGCCCGAGCTGCCTAGGTGCACCTCAGGGGATTTTTTTTTTTTTTTTTTTTTTTAATAACTCTCAAACTCAAATTTTGGGTAGGTTTAACTGCGTCATACCTATTCCTTACACTATCATCTCTCTGCCCCTTTTTCTGATTTTTATTTTTTTATATAATGGATGTATGCGTTGCTTACGTACATTGTTATATGTGTGCCTTCATCCTCTATTTTATATATATAATATAATATATGTATATATATGTGTGTTCTCTGAGTGATTATTGATTAATAATCTTCTTTTCTTTTAATATAATGTGTGTACTCTCAAGTATATATTAAAAAAAATTTGGTCCCGTAAGGCTTTGCCTCACGCCTAGGCTGGACTATTCCTCCGACGCCTCACTCAGCCTCATGCTTGTAATACATTGGTTAATCAGCACGAAAAGTAGAAGAAATCATAGTCAGATGAGCAGTCAGCCAGTTGATCACAAAATAGAGTCATGACCACAACAAAAAATGACCGGACATTCCTGCGATTTCAGCACTGAAAGACTTTAATCAGTTGGGCTCTCACCCCTGCAAAGATGTAATCAGTTCAACACAGACCAAAACATCAAGCAACCACATCCGAAAATTGGGGCCGCAATAATAAAGTTGGAAAATTGGGGAAACTTAATTGTCATCCAAAAGAGGTTGGTTACATTAGAGAGAAATTCATATTAATTGTGTTAATGTGTACATAACAAGCTGCAATCCTGCAGCACAACCTGAGAGTAGTTTCACATCAACTGGTTTAAAATTCAAATTTACTAGTTTACTTGCCAGCAAGCAGAGAGCGCTAACGATAAATTACATCCAGCTTACTGTGACAGACTAAATAGTACATGCAGCATTAACATTAAGTAAAAAAAGCAAAAAACAAAGACAAATAGCTATTACTATGTCCATGCAGTCATGTTCCCTCTAATTGGTCAGGCTTCGACCTCCCCTTCCTTAGCAGTCTGGGTTTCGTCTTTCTCTGCATCCCCTTCTTCTTCGTCTTCTTCATCTGCCTCATCAGCCAATTTAGTAAGCTCTTCCTGGATCATGAGCTTTATGGCTGACTTTCTCAGGCTGAGATCTGCATCAAATTGCCCGGCTGAAAAAGAACGACAGGCAGGAAGGCAATAAGAGTTCATGAGTATTGATCTGATCAGGCACTACGTTTCAAAATGATAGCTAATCATTTCTTCAATCCTGCAGCAGATGAATGTTCACAATTTTTCTAGCCAAATTCCTAGATGCATCTAGCATGACAAAAATATAGCCAAATTTCTTTGAATAACCCATTTAGAAGCTGAGACCAAATTAGTACCATTGGATTCACTAATATTTAAAAAGGCCATTTAAATTTTCAATAAAACAAAAGAAACGAGAGTGCATACCAAGTTGCTTCAGAATGTCCGTGAAAGTAGCCTGCAAAATATAGAGAACGCAACTTGTAAGTGTATGAGAACAGCCATCACGTAATATAAAGTATAAACAATAAAATATGATGGTCTCGGATACTTCTCCTTTTGATTGCTGATCGGTATAATGTTCTCAGTATATATATGCAAACACCCTTTACAGCCAAGTTTACCAGTTCATTCAAGAATATGCTGCTACAACCATGTTTACCGGGCAGACAACTGGTACTCTAAGCTTACCGTATTGAAGTCAACCTCTTTGAGAATTTGACATATTGCATCTCTCAAATTGTCATCAGTTGGCCTCAATTTTTCTTCCTTGGTCTTGTCCTTACCTTTAGCAACTTTTTTCCCTTCAATAAAGAATAGTATATAGTATTATCAACAAGGATGAAACGATAGCTCCAATTCTTGCCAAAAAAAATCCAAAACAATCAATTGTTTATGAGCAATATGTATTAGACAACATTATCAAATCGTGAAAAAAAATTGACCAGATAAATCAGTCCCTCAATATCTAAATAAGACGAGAAGACAACAAAGATGTACAATACACAGCACACAAATCTATAAGCTAAAGAAACAAAAACAAGGGAGAAAAAAAAAAAAACTAAAGCTATAATCTTTGAAGAAGTAAAAACAACAAAACTGAAACCAAAATTCCAAAAGAAAAATGTTTTTAAGAATATTTGCAACAATAAAGCAATGAACTTTCTGAGAGAAACAAATGGAGCAAAAAAATTTAGTAAAAAAAAAAATAGAAGTACTAGTATTTCAAAATCAAAAGTTATTAAAGAAAATGTATTTTAACCAAGATGGTGATGATGGTGATGATGGTAATGATAATAACAATAATCATGAGAATATCAAATGGAACAAGAGATTTCAATTTATACCAGTTTTTTCCTTTGAGGCAGATTTTTTTGGAGTTGATGCTTTGGACACTTTCACATTTTTCTTCTTCCTTGAGGATACCTTTGGACTCGTATCACTGTCATCATCAACTGGAGTGCGCTTTAATGATGACTTCTTTTGTCTTTTACTAGGTGGTGGAGTAGACTTAGCAGAAACTGCGGATTTTTTTGTTCTAGCTTTTCCAGAAGATTCCTTCTTTCTGGATGACAATGATTTTGACCGTGGCTTCTTTTTTATCACTTCTTTGTCAGTACCATCGGAAGAATCATGTTTCTCCTCACTTTCTGAAAGCTCAGGCATCACATCCTCTGACTTCTCTGGAATGCCATTTTCATTTTCATCTTCATCATTTTCTTCTTCTTCTTTTACATCTTCCACCGACTCATCTTCTGTATCTGGTGTACTCTTGTCCTCCAATTTTGAATCATCATCATTCTTTCTACGACTCTGGAAAATTACAGAACAAATGTTCTTTTACATATACATAAGATCAAGAACAATAAATGGTAGAAAGCCATCAATAGATGGTACGAAGCCCTCTAAACAGACTGAAGTGCAAAAATCTAATGCAGGTTGCAAGCATGTTTCTTCTCTAGATAAATTCTCATGGAACTTTTTAGATCTCTTGAAATTGCAGTAAAATTCACGATCAGTAAAATCCTTGGCAACAGTGTATATAGATGCTCTTATCTTAAGATCCACCAATGCTACATAAACTGGAAAGAATTATGAAGCTACATTCTATGCACACTGAAGCCATGGAATAGTACATCCATCACTAGCAAGTTGACAAAGGAACAGATAACATTCATTAGAAGACACAAGTTATACCAAAATGGCAAGACAAATAGTTGTCCAAGTGCAAAAGATATATACACCACAAACGAATACAAGAACACCTACCTCTGCTGAAGTAGAACCTTTTACAGTTACAGCAAGACGACACAAAAAATTATTCGCCAATTAAGCTATTATACTAATGCTCATGTCACAACTTTATTTATGATATTTGAGGATGAGAAAATAGCACCTTTGCTAAGCGCTTTGAACTTGTGCCCCCAGAAGTTGAAGGACTTCCTTTAGTTGCCCTCTTGCGCTTTTTGCCCTTAGTTGGCTGACATTCAAACAGGAAATAGAAAGTTGTTAACATACTGTGCAAGAAAACAAATTTCTCCAAGAGTGAAAAATTTGCAAGTAAACAAACCGTCTCTTTTTCTGCGAGGAGGACATCACTTGTAGCTTGAGGAGCCACCAAAAACTCGATAAGCTTTGCAACTATATCCTCCTGCATTTTCATTTTCCAGCTCATTTAAGCAACTGTCCTCTCAAATTTGACAATAACAAAATTTGATTTTTAAATTAGGCTGAAAAATCATTTCTGATATGCCTCGCCTACTCTCAAATGAGAAACAACACCAGTGTTTCCGATAATCCCAGGATGCGTCAACCCTTATTTTTTAGAGAAAACAAAATCAGATACACTGTTGCATCTGAGGTCCATTCACAGTTAGATTATCAATTCATGTGGAATATGAGGGCATACAATTTAAGTCTGGACTGAACAATGTGTATAATGTTAGTTAATCAACCAGTAAAAAACATCCCAACTATGAGATAGTTGCTACTTTAGTCAGTTAGTGATCAAATAATAGATTCACCACAATGAATAGAAAGATTTCGGGACAAATTTCCAAACCAAAAAAGTAGCTGCGGCAGTAAAAAGTTAGCAAACCTTCCTAGTAGTGGCTTTGGAAACTGATACATTGAGCAGATCACAGAAGTCCAATAACTTCTCTTTATTACACTTGTCAAGTTTTTCTTTTACTTTACTATTTTGCTTGTCCTGCAACAATGACAACATTTGAACCTCACTATCGTATCACAAGTAAATGCACGCTGTTAAAACCTTAGTGATAACCACCCTCAAAGCACTAAAACATGTCAAATGCATGCATCAAAGATAATGCATCTTTTACCTCATTTCCACGCCACACAAATCCAGAGAACCTGGATATATTACTCTTGACCTCAAGTGCCTGCAAAATTAAAGGAGAGCCAAATAGACACAACACCTCAATACTCAAAGACTACATATGAAGAATACTAGCTTTGAAATCTCCAGAGAGATTTTATTCATGCAGTTTAATTTTGCAGTAAGTACATTCTTGTCACCAAATTAGCAGTAAATGAATTACCTTTCCTCTCCTTCCAAAAAGAATAGTATGAAGTAGTTTTAAGTTATCATCGATTTTCCTTCTTGACAACTTGAAAGCCACTGAACAAGACAAACATCAATAATTTGCACTGCCATGATTAAAAACTCACCAATTGCAATATCAGACTGTTATGAATCAAAGGGATAGTAATTTAGTATACACATTGATGTATATAATTAAAGGAATAAGGAAGAGAAGACCTAAATTCTTTGTTAATAATAAATTCGATCACATACAATGCATCACTTGGAAGAGTTCAATATGAATTTCTAGTAAGCAACTGGTCAAACAGGAATGTAGTTACATGTGATTCCTAATACGACTCCTAAAACCCTATTAGTGTCACCGGAGTTTCTGTCTTAACATTCATTTTTATGAGCCCAGCTTCTCCTTATCTACCAACAATTTACATAACCAAAAAGCCCAAAACAGTATTTCCATATTTTGCTCCTTGTCCTGTATCAGGTTGTCCATATCATGTCAAAATATGAATAGTTAGACTAATTGTAGAGTACGGAGATTTTGACTACAATTCACCTGAAGTTAATACGTTCATTTATAAATGGTGGAGATTTTATGTCCAAGTATTAATGGTCAATACATGGACATAAAATCTCCACCATTTATAAATGAAATTATTAGTTGTAGGTGAATTGTAGTCAAAATCTCCGCACTCTACAATTAGTCTAACTATTCATATTTTGACATGATATGGACAACCTGGACAAGGAGCAAAATGTGGAAATACAGTTTTGGGCCTTTTGGTTATGTAAATTGTTGGTACATAAGGAAAAGCTGGACTCATTAAAATGAAAGCCCCGGTCACACAATCAGGGTTCTAGGAGTCGCCTTAGGAATCACAGATAGGTTTCATCACACAGTCCTAAAGAGAAAAATATGTTGCGTACTCACTGGAAAGGTCTCTAAATTCATTAATTTCATTGAATGAAAAAGGGCTCACAAGCCTTTTATAGAGTTGTACTAGGTTAGATACTGCATGTAATCCATGTTGAACCCATGGATACAGTGAACCAATATTAATTACTAAATGTATGAATCCTAGACACCACACTAACTCTGAACCAACATTAGTTACTACAGGACTACATATTACCCCAACACATGAGGTACAAACTTAGAACACTCTTCCCTGTTGCAGTAAAGACCCTATAACAGTAGCTCACATTCACTGGCTTGTTCAAATAAGATTCCAGATAGGAATAGCATCATGATTATATCCTTCCAGATTCATAACCACCAGATCCTTCACGCATCATACAGAATGTGAAAATATCTTACCAAACAAAAGTGACCAATGAAAGCTTTGACCCCTTCACAACCCTATGAAGCTAAAAATATTTCAAAGTAATTACTACTGATTGGAGTTTAAAACAGCAAAAGAATATGTAAGTGGATTACCGGACTGATATAATGTCCATTTAAAAGAATTTAAAATGTAGAAGATTAACTTTCACAGAGAAAACCGAAGTGAGGTTCATTAACAGTAGGATAAAAAAGAAGAGAATAGGGCAGGAACCGTACCATAAAATGTAGAAGATTAACTTTCACAGAGAAAACCAAAGTGAGGTTCATTAACAGTAGGATAAAAAAGAAGAGAATAGGGCAGGAACCATACCATTAGGTATGTCTTTCAATGGTGTACCGCGTCCCTACAATGTTTAAGGTAAAACAATAAACAAAATAATCCTCAGTAATACATAGCCAGAAACTGATATCTATAGAACAGAAAACAAATAAAAAGAAGACCTTCTCTATATGGAATTCCCTGGCATTATCCTTTTCAATAGTTGCCACCAGCCTTTCAACTGATTTCCGCTCACGAACAGGGCGATCAATAGCGGGAGTCCTTTGCTCTGGCTCCTTCTTTTCTGCAACTTTCCTTTTCTTCTCTTTGGTTTTCTCCGCACTCTTTCCTTTTCCACGCTTCCTCGACCCTTTGTCCATCTTAGCTTCTTCTTCTTTCTCTTCTTCCATCTCTTCTTCCTTCTCTTCTTCCTTATCTTCTTCCTTATCTTCTTCCTTCTCTTCTTCCTTATCTTCTTCCTTGTCTTCTACCTTCACCTTTTCCTTCTCTTCCTCCACCTGAAGCCCATCCACCTTCTCTTCTTCCACTTCAATTTGCTTCTTTTCTTCAGTCTCCACTTTTTCATTTGGAGCAGTTTCTTCTTCCTTTTCCTCAACTTTGGTTTCCTCTGTTTCTTTCACCTTTTCACCTTTGCTTCCATTCTCAACTAGAGCATTCTCATCATCTTTCTTAACTTCATTTGGACCAATTTCCTCTTTTATTTCCTCAACCTTGGGTTCCTCTGCTTTTTCTTTCACTTTTTCATCTTTGCTTCCATCGGTCTCTTGGCCTTCATTCTTTTTCTCTGCTTCATCTTTCTCATCACCTTTCTTATATACATCTATTTCTTTTACCTCAACCTTTTCGTCCCCTTTTTTCAAAGTCGCATCTTTGCTGGTTTTCCCTAACTGGCTAGTCCCATTTGCCACTATTTCAGTGTCATTGGCCACCGTGTCTTCTTCACCCATGATCAATTAATCTAAAACAGATTATGGCCGTGGCAAAGTTGATTGGAAAAACTCCTGAAACAAATGTAGTATTCACTTAGGGGTGCACAATGTCGCATGCAAAAGAAACTCTCATAGAAACTTAGGGGTTACCACCATAATTTCAAACAAATAAAATGCCATAAGTTTGGAAATATTCAAATATAAATCATCAAGCTTGAAAACTCTGCAGCTACCGCTGATTTTCTCAAACAAAAAAGAATCCAAAGAGCAATAACAGAATCTAGGAGAAAAATGCATGAAATTAGAGTCCCCAGAAAAATGAAATCCCAAACTAAATCTGGACCAAGTAAGTAACATGCAGAGCCCAACAGACAAATTTTGAATCTTCAGCTTCTACACTGCTTTAACAAAAGCAAGAACCTCAGTTTTTCACCATACAACGTCAATAGAACAAAAAATCAAAGAAAATCTGTTAATTCAGTTTGGGACCAATAGACAAGCGAAATTCAAACTACAAATTAAACTCAAATTTTCAACTTTCTCGGCAACCAAACAGTAGCAAGAAAAAAATTCCAATTTTGCACAGTAATCAGTAAAAATCAAGCAAAATTCACGTTTGAAGACTGTAACCACCAGTTGGAATCCCTAAGCTCTGCACCTCAATTATCCCCAACTCCATAGCCAAAAATAACAAACTTTACAGAAAAAAAAGAATAATTGGTAATTAAAACTGAATAAAAATTGATTTAGGTATGAAACTTACAGAGATTTGAGTTTTGTGTTGGTTGATTTGGAGCTCGGAAAAGTCTTCGAGTCCCACTCTCACTGCTTCTCTCTCTTACACACAATTATTATTATGCTTCAAATTTCTATTTTTGGTTTTGTTTTTTTTATTTTATTTATGCTGTGGATATATACGTAGTCCGGACTTCAAACCCGGATTCAAAGTGCAGTTAAATACCACGTCAGTTTGAGTTCTAACGCGAAAGTGTCTCCACGGCCCAGATCTGGTTTGGGATGGCACCTAGCGAATCGACAGCCGTTGATTGACATTCAATCTTCTTCTTTTTTTTTATTTTTTTTTTTTATATCAAGAAAGAAATTTATTAAAATTTGAAACCTCGAATATTAGGGATGGGCTTTTTTGAGAAGTATTTATCAAATATTAGCTCTTAATTTTAAAAATGTTAGCTTTTAGAAAATTATAAATATATTTAAAATATCACTTAATTTTTTCTCATCAAGGGTTTCTTTTTCTTTGTTAATTTATTTCATGTTTCAATCGGTATCTTTCTTTGGTTCTTTGATTTTGTTGATTTTTTGGAAAAAAACAAAATAGATAATACTTAAACTTGGTTTCGCTGATTTATGATTTTTTGCCATCGGTCTATATGTATTTGTCTCTGTAATTGTGGTGATTTGCCTAGGTACAAAAGATGAAGACATAATGCAATGGGAAAAAAATTAGCGTGATAAAAATTGTCAACATTTCACAATATCATTAAACAATTTCTTATTTATTCAAAGTAACAACATAATCACTTTTTGACTTATGTATTATCTTGCCAATATTATACATGGTCACAAGTTTTAATTAAGGTTCTAAAAAACACTAGGCGCTAGTCGGGCGACTGACTAGCACCTAGCGCCTAGGCGGATTTACATAAATTTACATTGTATATTATAAAATATGAACAAAACAAAATATAGATGAAAAAAAACAAAACAAATAAAAATAAAAACATAAAGTGGAGATGTGAAGGAAATATTTGTGAAAACAAGTTCATTTGAGCAACATCTATACATGCTATTAACAATTAAAAGGCGGAATCATGCTTGTATGCACTCAAAAATAAAACTTTGCCCATGAAATTCAAAGCCTAGTAGTTGGGTGAACCAAGACTCAACTCAAGAACAAAGTGAGTTGAGAAATACTATACCTTTGTTGATTCCTCTTTGTATAAGCAAAGGCTAATCACCCAAGAGATAGGGCCTTCATTCCTTACTTCTTAGCTCCATGGATTTCTTGGATGAGGATGGTTGAAAGGATTCTCCAAGTTCCCAAAATTGAGAACCTCTAATTTTTCCACACCAAGGAGAGCTTTGATGAGGATATGAGTGACCTAGGAAGATTTAGATGCTAGTAAAACCTTCCTAGGGTGGCCGGCCTCTTAGAGAGAAAAGGGAGTTTGTGTTCTCATCTTTTCTCCAAAAGAAACCCTAAGAATGGAATGGCTATAAAGTTGCCTTTATACCACCTCACAATGTAATGGCAAACTTGCAATTAAAGCAAGTTCACTACCCTTTCTCTATATAGCCGGCCTTAAGGGTTTATAGGGCTTTCAAGCCTTTTGTGTTTTCAAGTTGTCATACAACTTGAGTTATTGGACTTGACATTCAAGTCCAATTGGGCCTTGCAGCCCAAAACTAACCCTAGGTCTAAAACGAACTTATTCGTTTGATTAATCATCATATTAATTAATCCTTGCCATAAATAATTAAACCATTTAATTATCCTTACTCATCTTCGTTATTTATTCAATCTCTACCTTACACGTTGTATGATCCATTAGGTTCCTTTTAGCGAGATAGTAGGCGATTATAACTCTTTATATCGATTATGAATTGAAACTTACTTTCAATTCTCCCTTTAGTGATTATACACATTTAGGACTTCCACAAACCATGAGTGACACCTAGCAGTATGTCATGGTTACCCAAGCTAATCAGAAGAGGTGGAGAACCTATTCAATTTAGGATTACAAATGCAATACGATCTCTCTCTAATACAATACTCTTGACCACATTGTTTGGTTTGATAGTTTATTCATGTCTATTATCCAATGTGATTCTTTTACTTATATGATTACCTTGAATGTGATTTTGAAATGACTTCCTAAATCTCATTCATACTCCGGCCAAAGATTCTTAATCATATCATAGAGTATTCTCCATCAAACAGTTTGAAGGTTAGAGATCCCTTGTTGCGCATTCACTTGCCTCCATGGCTAAGTGGCTTAACCCTAACTATGTCGTGGACACCCTTTGATGGAGTGACTTTGACATAGTCAAAGATCAAGGACCTAACCACAAGACAACTATGATGCCTCAGGTCAAAGGACTACTTTGCATTATCCCAACCATGAGTTCTCATGTGACATGAGTATAAGAACTCCTCGTTGATCGTGTTCAGTGGACTCATTCTCTATTGAGCACCTACATGCTTGTTTTGGTGTCAGTCACACCAATGACTCAAGACCAGTCACTCTTCCTAAGAGAAGACATAGCACATACTGATCTTAATGGACTGTCAATGCCCAATTGGCAATCCTATGATCAGGAATGTTTAGGATATGTATACAAAAGAGAATGGTATCATGTATCTAACTTCTTTAGATCACATTCTCCCAGTTGCATATTCCTTGGACTTATTGTTTAAGCATATAAAATTTATATGAGACGGTTTAAAACAATAATCTCTGCCCTTTATATTAAACTAGATTAGTTTAACATGTGAAATGTTCGTAAAGTATCATCATATGATTGGCTTTAGCCGCTTATCCATCGTCTATATTTCTCCGACAACACACATCCTTGCCTTCTCTCTCTCTCTTTCTCTTCAACAGATCCCCTTCCCTCTCTACAGTAAAACCCAGATCCCCTTCTCTTTTTGCAGTAAAACCCAACAGACAGATTATGTGTATTGTACATCCATGTATATTCTCAATCTACTTGGGTTTATGGATTGATGTTGGGTGCAAAAGCCCAGGTTTGAAGATTTGGGTTGTGGGTGGTGGATCGTGCGGATGCGAAGGGAGATTTCCCTTCGCAGAGAGAATCAGTTGCATCGACTGCCGCCTAGCACCGCCTAGGCCACCTTGAGCGCCTAGAGACGCCTAGGCCGCCTTGAGCCCCTAGAGACGCCTAGGCAGCCGCCTAAATCCTTCCCGCCTTACCTGAACCATTTAGCCCAAATTGAATCGGGACTCCACCGTCGAGCGTCTAGGCTGATTTTTAGAACACTGATTTTAATTGGAACATCGGTGATTGCTATTGTTTGAGTAAATTAACAGAAAACCAATCTAATATCATGTATACTATTTGCCTGTTATTTACGTATCTTATTAGTAGGATGTTAGTTCCCATTTTTTTTTTTACTAAAAAATTAAAATTAAGAAACCTGTGGTCTTCGTTTGACAAAGAAAATTAAAAAAAAAATGAGAAAAATATAGGTGAGAGCAACACTTGATTATAGCACAAGAATCTTTTAATCAACAACTAATTATTCACATAAATTAAGGGTATTTGTGTCTATTTAAGTAAGATTTTAGATATGATTGAAAGTTTTATTAAAAAAAAAAAAAAAAAAAAAAAAAAAAGATATTTTCGAAATTAAAAGTGAATTTTTTGCATAAATACTCATTTTTTTAGTAAACCGCCAAACCCGTCAAAGCCACCCGTGACATAATGGGTTGGATCATTTTGAAATTTATTTTATTGAGTTCCAAACTACGATCCGTCCGTCCGAGAATGAAATAGTTAAAGCACGGTTTGTAAAATTCCAACCCGTAGTGGACCAAAACGAAAAATTATTAGATAGTATTGTACTACCACATCATTCGTGATACTTCCATTTAAAATTAGCTGAACTTATATTTTAGAAAATTAAAAATAAATTAAATACTTGAAAAAGAAAATACAGCTAGTTTCTCCGCTAGTGGGTAAGACAATTGAAAGTGAGTTTTTTTTCTTATTTCTTTGATTTTCTGAGTAGCCAAATGGAGTATGTGATTTTTATTTGATGACATTTGAAAGTGAAAATAATACACATGTCAAATCCCCTTCCCAGTTCTCCGGCCCACGGCTCCAACCCCTTGCCTGCCACTGGTTTCCATCGCTGTGGACTCTCTGCAATTTCCAATGGTGAGAGACTAGTAGTGTAAACTCCCAATAGATTAATCATAATGGTGCTTTGTGGCTTTCAGTGGGTTTTGACAAGGAACACACATTATATATTATATAGTTGAGTTTTAGCACTGTTCAGCAATGGTAAAAGGGCGGATTTGTCCTTCACTAGTAGAAGATTGAGAAATAGAAATTTGGAGGACTGGATGATCAAGTATTAACCCATTTTAAAAGAAAAGGTAAACCATGAAAATCCCAAAGTGATATCCCATGACCTACAACTATTTTCTTATCGATCAAAGCATTATTGGAAGCCTACTCGGAGTCTCCATCTCTTGGAAGGTAATTCTTTAGTTGTTATTAATTTTTGTGAATCATTTGATATGGGCTTTGTTTATTTGTGGGGTTAGATACATATTTGTTGAAAACTTGATTTTAGGAATTGATTGATATGTTTGGTTTCTGGATTCTCTTTCTTTGTTAAAATTTTGATGTGGGTTTTGTTTATTGATTGTAGTGTTGTATTAACTTGCGTTTTGTTTATTGATTGCAAAGTTGTATTACTTTGCGTTTGATTGGAAGTGTTGCAAAGATTTGATTCAAATTGATGGATTTGGGTAAGAAAGAAACCTAAATCTTTTCTTTCGGTTTTTAGAGCTGAATGGACGTGCTCTGTTTGAAATAAGCGTTTAGATTTACAAAATTTTCTTAACATGCATGCTTCAATGGTAGAATAGAGTGGACATAACATGTACAGCTAGCTTTTAGGTCTTCATTTTCGGTTAAATAGTTATTTTCTTATATATCTTAATGGTACAAGGTCAACTTTAATAATTGTTAATCCCATTGGCTATATTATCTGGTAGAAACACTATCAAATTGTACATGCAGAGTCTGTTGCTGTAGAAGGAGGTTGGAAAGGCATTCTTTAGCAAAATTGTTTGTATAATTGGGCATATACATGACCCTTTTTTTAATATAGCCTTTTGTCGAATGAGCTTTTCAATTTATGCTGGCTGCTTTTAGAGTTAGATTGGTTTAGTTAGCTATTCTCAGAGCTATGACAACAATATGCATCAGTTGAGTGGAATTCTGCTCTTCTTGAACATTTCATGCTTTATAGTCTTTGTACTTTGGTTGATAACTCTTCACAACTTTTGTCCTTCTCCTTAGTTTTCTTCAGAGATAGTGTCTGTGTTAGTGTAATTAGAGTTAATCATCTGATACCAACAAGCTAAAATTCTATGTTTGGATTGTTTGGATTGTGTAACAGTCACTCAATTATGTGAATGCTGTATTTACTGGTTTTGTACTGCGATGATTGGTTGATATCCCTGTTCATTTCAATGGCTCTGTTTTCTTTTGTAAATGAGTATATTGTATGTAAAATTTTTTTTAACGTTTTCTATGTAAATTTTAGTAATATTCTATGACACAATTTTTCATACAATTTTTAATCCCACAAATTCATAGTACTTGACATTGGTAGGTTCTTGAACTGTTTTCCCATTTCATTTAGTTATACTTCTGATCATCAATTTTGAAGTTGATTTTTTTATTTAGATGGGTGATTGAAAAAGGAAGTTTTTATAGTCAGAATGACTCACAATTTGCTATGAACTAAATGAGTTTTTCTTTATGCAGGTCAACATGATTGAACATATTAGCAGACTTGTAGTCATTGCATACATGGAATACAAGGAGGTTTGCAATTGAGCTTTGGTTTTAGTGACTTCTTAAATTTGGTCACGACTAATCCTTTTTTTTTAACTCTACTTAAATGGTTTTCGGGGAACCAGTCATTTGTGTTGTTTCTTCTCTCAACTCTTGGCTTTTAGTTGTCTAACTGTTGGAGTATGGATCTTGATTGAATTGATTATTTTAATCTAAACTATTGGTAGTGATCTTTTATTTAATTTATCATATTATTGAAAGAATCGCTTAGTACAATCAGGTTTAAAAAAATAACTTAATATCATTACTGTTTTGGATTGTGTAGTGTTGAGTATTAGTTGTTGATTCCGCTGTGCATTGTGATCAAATCCTTAATCACGTTCTCCGTTTCAGTTTGTTGAGAATATGAATCTTGATTAAATTGATTGTTTTAATTTAGACCATTGGATACAATTTTCAATTCTGCAGCAATACGCGGGCATCAATCTCTAATTATTATCCAAAACCAAAGTCCATCATCTACCCGCAAACCCGCCCAATCCACCCAAAAACATATTGGGTTGGGTGAGTCACAAGTATATTTGGTAGGTGACAAGTTGGTCAAATGATGGCCCGACCATCATGAGTCGGCTTACGGTTTAAGTGTCAATCCCGCCCAATCCGAACCCATGCCAACCCGATCAAATTTAAGGGCCTCCACAGCCGAATTTGGTAAACAAAACTCCCAGAAATATGGGTTTTGTTACGGTAAGGCCCAAGTGAGCTTAAAACATCGGGCACAAAGTTTGCTTTCTTAAACATGTGGTTCCATCTTATGCAAAGAAATTCAGAGGCCAGCCATCTAATATTCTTCACAATTGACTTAAAGTGCCAAGGAATATCCAAGCGCCTTAATTTTACTAAATAATACTTTGGAATAAAATATCGCGATACTCAATTTGCTAAGAAGTAAACAATATTTTCGTTTCCACGTTAGCTTGAGATATTGAAGAAATTTTTTCTATGTGCTGGAAACAATGCACGGTACACCAAGTGTTTCATACATATGGTTGAAATTTTTTTGTAATATCCAACCACTTGTACTAAAGCATAGAATATTCGGATTCATAAAGGAATGTTGTCTGCAATGAGAGATCCTTATAATATAATCCCTAAATCTTAGGACTAAAATATTAAAAAATCATTGTTCATTTTGTTGGAGTATGGCCATAAATAAAAACTAAAAAGTTGTCTCTACTGTTGATTTCCCAACGTTTCAAAAATAAGGGAAGTTGTATGAATGACTAAGCATTCATGTATAAGGGTTCAAAAAAACAAGGGAAAAAAACCTAAAAAGAGAAGTTGATGTGCAACATTCAACATGAGTGTCCACTATAAATCAATAGTGGGTTCATTCTTCAAGTCCTTATATACATTTTTCTCATTTTATGTTTTTTTTTTAAAGATCTGACAAGTCTCTATATATTAAGATACATTGAGAACTCCTACTTTGGGCCATTAAATGCCTTTTGTCGCTCTATTTGACTCTAGAGACTAGGTTTCCTTCAGTATCCTATTAAAAATGCTCTAATGACCACTATTCTAAAAATTCATGCCTAGGCGCTAGGCGTTATGCGCATGGTCATCGTCCCGATTAATGACTAGGCGTTTGAAAATTAAGAAATGGTGTCTAGCCTGCTAAGACACCTGCCTAGACCGCTTAGACCCTAGCACGATACCCGATTAGCGCCTAACGCTTTTTAAAACCTTGCTAAGGAGACTTGTCTGCTGAATGGTTTGTCCAGCACATGAAAATTCTCTCGAGCCATAGATCGCAATGCTGCTGCGGCGCACGTCGTACACGACGGACACGGATCAAACACAGCAAAGGGTTTGACGTCGGACTTTTGGATCTCGTATTGATCCAACAATTCATCCACTTGGATCAGATCAGAATTGTGCTTGTCGGTGAGAGCACGCATTCGCACAACCTCATCTTTCCAAAAATAAAAAGTACGCGCACAGAACAAAAACAAAATATTAATAAATTTAAGTAAGAAAATTAGTAATGGGACTGAGACTAGCGATTGAGATGTTCCGGACCTTTCCAAGAAGTCTGAGTTGGCTCAACTGAGGAAACCAAAATCCCGACATGCTTACTCTGGTCAGTTCTCTGTTTTGTTTGCTGGTTGTTGTTTTTTCCATGTTCTGATTCTAGAGAGAAAGTGTGTGCGTGATCATTCTGTTAAGTTAGTTATTTCAGTTAATCCGAAAGCAATCCTCATTCCTCAGCTTGATAAGGTTGTTTTCATTTCACTTGCGCTTCTACTACTGATTTTGTTTGTTTGTTTCATTATAGCAGTTAGAATATAGGTCATTGAAATAAATCCCTAGTAGTTCTAGAGCTAATATGTGCACTTGATCTGATATCCTAGTGGATAGGATGTCGGATTTCGTACTGCTTATGGGTTCTAAACTCTCCATTCCCCAAATTATCGTAATAGTTTCCAACACTTTTCCTCCTCCTAATAACAGTAAATTTCAAGTAAATAAAAAAGTTATTGAGGTAAATCAGATTCATGCCTACTTCTCTGTCTAACTTTCTTGATTTGACCTTTCCAAAAGGTTTGGAAAATATATCTCTTGCTCTTGATGAATCTACATTTGGGTATTTATACGTGTTTTAAGTTTTAACTTTAAGAAGATAAAAAACATGAAGCTTACTTACAATCTGATTGAGTTGCCAAGAGGAAGTTGTTTACAAACAATGCTCCAGAAATGGTAGTATGCTTGTTGGTAAACAATTGTATAAGCTAATCGATTAAAGATTGAAACCTAAAAGCTCAAAAAAAGCCATCGAAGTGCAGGTGAAGCCTTCCCTCCACCTGCTCGACGAAATGTCCCAAAAACACTGTTGTGCTGCTACCTTGTGATACACACGGTGGCGCGAATTGAAGTACGTATGAGCGAGATTGTTGAGTATATATGGAAAGTCTAGTTGTGCTACATATGACATGGAAGAGACTAATCTAATGGTTTTGGTATGGGGGACTGAGAAATCAGAGAGAGAGAGAGAGAGAGAGAGAGAGAGAGAGAGAGAGAGAGAGAGAGAGAGAAGAAGGGGGGGGGGGGATACTAATCTAATAGTTTAGTGTCAGAAATTTAGAATTCAGTGTCTGAGGAAGTATTTGTACAAAACTGGCAAGCAGAGCTTGGTTTCTGAGAAAATCTTCCATTATATAACACCTATGCTAACTTGGTTCAAACTTCATTGTGATAAGGCTTCCAGTCCCGCCTGATCTGACGTAGCATCTTCTTCATAATCAAGTCGGGTCTCATTGTCTTCATAGAAATATAAACTAAAAACCAGCTAGGTTTTATTTCTTAGGCACTGCAACAATTACCAACATTTCAGAAAGAAAAATTTAATCATCTTTATTTTGAACATCCATCATCCATCATCAAATTTGACTCTGTCATTTTTAAAGCTATTGCCCACTTCTACTAGGGCATTATCATGGTAAAAGAAACATGCACATGTAAACCAAATTAAACCAAAGTTCGTGTTTAATTAACACGAGTTAAAAAATCGTTGCGTATGAAATCTTTAACAAGAAAATACTCCTTATTACTTGCTTATATAGGTTATAAGGTGTGCAAACAACAGAAGCACTCAAAAGCATCTGTAATCTTGGAGCCTGTGACATTGCGTGTGATATAGAAAAACATTTGAGAGCTTTCACACGTTGACTCGCCAGGAAAAAAAATTCCTGATTCCACCACTGGAGCCTGCAGTAGTTATTTCAGTTGATCTGAAATTAACCCCCAGCTTAATGTTTTCATTTCACTGCACTGCAACTACTGAGTTTGTTTACTTATAAGCTTGATCCTTTGTGCATTCTTTACCAAATAAAATATGATCAAAGGAATTGGTGGATTGTGATTTAAGGGTTTCATATTTCCTTTATAAGCTAATTGTTTAAAGATTGAAACTTGAAATGTCGAAAACTGTTGTCGAATGGAGGTACATCTGCCACGACTTGGCTAAAAGTGTCTAGCTACTTATATGCAGGTCTTCTAGTTTTCTGAATCATCGTAATGGCCTCGAATGAGGTTAGATCCTTGGTTTCAGGACTAATAGATCCTTTGTCTCAAACAAATAAAAGGAATGTTCCGAAGCGTAGAAGAATTCGCCGTTGTAGAAGTGCTCCTCTTTCAGAGTATATAAGGTTAGAGGCAGGCTTTGCCTCAGGTCCACGTACTGAATCCTTTTGTGGAAATATACACCCGAACTTTCTCTTTGTAGCTGCATTCTTGACTGTCTACTTAGGCATAGGAACTTTATGTTTCTACCTCGTCAGGCACCAGCTCAAGGGAGAGAAGACAAATGGATTTCTTGATGCTGTTTATTTCTGTATCGTGACAATGACCACTGTCGGATACGGAGACCTTGTGCCAAACAGTGTTCTTTCAAAACTACTGGCTTGTGCCTTCGTCTTTTCAGGAATGGCTCTCGTTGGGATGATCTTGAGCAAAGCAGCTGACTATTTGGTAGAGAAGCAGGAATTATTGCTTGTTAAAGCCTTGCATTTGAGTAGAAAAGTTGGGCATTTTGAAATTCTTGAAGATATCGAGACTAACAGTCTGAGGTACAAATGTATTGTGGTCTTCATCTCTCTTTTGCTGCTCATAATTGGTGGCACAATCTTCCTAGCTACTGTTGAGAAATTGAGCCTTGTGGATGCATTCTATTGCGTTTGTTGTACCATAACAACTCTGGGTTATGGAGATAAGAGCTTTTCTACTCAAGCAGGGCGTGTTTTTGCAGTATTCTGGATATTGACAGGTACCATTTGTTTAGCTCAGTTTTTCCTCTACATTGCCGACCTAAATGCCCAGAGCAGACAACGGGCGTTAGTAAAGTTGATTCTTACTAGTAGGATGACCAATGTAGATTTGGAGGCAGCTGATCTTGACGATGATGGCTCTGTTGGGTATGTGAATTTTTTCTTCAAAAAACGTTTGTGTATTATGGGATTATTATTTCTGAATTCTTATCTGCTGAGATGGTTTAATATCCAAATTTTGACATGCTTCCTCCTCCTTCCTTTTACGTAGGGCTGCTGAATTTGTCATATACAAGCTCAAAGAGATGGGGAAGATTAGCCAGGAAGATATTAGACTTGTAATGGAGGAGTTTGAAGATCTTGATGTTGATCAGTCAGGAACGTTGTCAACATCAGATATAATGCTTTCGCAATAACCTCAAATCGAGAAGTAACTCTGGCATCATGCTCTGAGTATTCTGAGAGGTGTCTTTGTAAGTTCGTGATTTGTATGATTGCTGACCCTTTATGTGATGTGAATTTCTTTACTATGTCCAACATATCTCTTCCTATATAAAGACTAGGTTAAAATGGTTAGACTGCTTCTATGTTAGAGATCATTGTTGATTATTGTCCTACCTCGATGTTAGTCTCATCTGTCAATATTTCTCTTCTTTACCGTGGTTGACAGGGTTAATACAGTTTGTGTAATTAAATTGTACGATGACAGTCATGGACATAAAAGCATTTTATAGCCAAATACTTGGTTCATGGCTTCTAAAGTGTTTTATTTACATGGGGTTACAGTGAGCAAACAAACTTTGCTCCTCCATCAGATTGAAAAATGGGACTGCTTAGGTCCTGATTTCAAGAATATCATCAAATGCAGTTCAATTTTTTTGCATTAGGATAGATTTGGGGGCTGTGCGTACGCGATGCGCGTGTAGTGTGGTGAGGACTAGTGGGAGCAGAAAAGGTTAAATGTCGTTTAAGTATACATTATGACATATGTTGGTTAAAATATGGGTTTACTTCTGCAAGTATTATCTGCTTCTGCATTGATACTTATCAGCATATATGCAATGTTCATGTTGTAGCATGTAGACATTTATCTTTTGTTTTGTTTGAATAATACATTTCTTCTTTGTACCTTTTTATGGGAGAGAGGCAATACGCCACTGTGGAATCTGAAACGAGTAAACACTATAGGACATGAGAAATTTAGTTTTTTCGGAAATGGCAAGATCTTTGGCGCAAGAAGGAGTTGACCTGTATCCTCTTGACTTGGTTCTTTCTTGTTTGACAGAAACTCATTGATATACAATAACCGGATTGTAGCGGGTATAGTTTAGGGAGTTGAATTTTTCCCCTCTTTTTTTTTCTCCCCTTCTCTCCCCTCCTATTTGAATGGTTAAGCCACATCAACATCTTATGTTAATTTTTTATAGAAAGAGAAAGGCAAAATAGAGAATGTGAAAGGAAGGGATGGAAGGAGATGGAAAGAGGAGATGAGAGAATCCTAGTCCATAGTTTAGTGGTAACAATGTGATTCTTCACATGAAATCCTATTACTCGTTTAAAATGTCAAAGTGGTGTACTGAGAGCGTAAGTCAGGTCCATTTTTGGATTCTTTGAGTTGTGCCAGGCAATAGCAATCCAAATTTTGGATTGTGATTTTGGATCAGATCTGAGCCCAGGAAAACTCCGCAGGCAGCTGGAAAACGCCAATGATATTAAAAATTGAAATGATTGTGGGGCCCACCATCATGTGGTCCCCACTCATTTGGATGATCGTGCAATTTCTTGAAATCTTTCAGGTCGGCCAGATGGGAGATAATTCAAAGGATGGATCCTCAATTAGGTACCATCACACCACAGGCATCCAATGCTCACTTAAAAGGAAAGGGGCTCTCTGATCTCTTTCACCTAATCATTATCATTAAACAATTCTGATTCTTAAAATTTGATCCAACGGTTAAAGTTATTGTAACTTTTAGAATGGGTCCTTGTTTTTAGCCATTTGATCAAATTTCAAGGGTTCAGATTATTTGATGAGGAGGATTAGGTGGAAGAGATCCGGAGATGATTTATTTCCCACTTAAAATGCATGACATGTCCGGAAAAGGAGCCGGATCCTTTTCCTAGGGATCATGTAATCGTGTCTGTTCATCATACATCATGCAATCAGAAATCATTTAAAATTTAAAATTTAAAATTCAAATATAAATAGTACCTAACGAAAACTGATCGCACGATGTACGGACACGATTGCGGGATTCTTAGGATCCATAGGATCCTTTTCCGACATGTCCCACATTACACTTTAAAAACAATAATTATTATTAAGGAAGAGAAAAGAGTTTGAAAATTGAGGGGTTTCGATTTCGAGACTCAACACCATATCTACTAGAATATTGAATTACATGCATAACTTACATTACACTTGATAAAATATAGAGTATACTATACAGAAAATGATTTTAATTCACTGTTTACTTTAATGAAAAACCACATTTTTAAACTAAAAAATCAATCATGGTACTATTTATTTTACCCATTATTTTATCTTTATCATTAAAACTCAAAATTTTCAAGTCATTTTCATTAGTTTTCCTAATGTTTAATCTTCACTATTAGTGTTCTTTTTTATCATGGCTATCATCGAAGCAAGATGTTGGAAAAAATACCTCAAAAGAGGCCGATGCATGGTAAGGAACCAACTGAGAAAAAAAGCGGGTGCGGCCTTTATTTTGCTTATAAAATAAAATTTTCTTGAATATGTCATTACACGTGAGTAACTGGTACTCATACTCTATACTTGAGTGAAGTAGCACCATTGAAAGGAGTGAAATAGCAAAAACTCAAAATCTTATACCTGAATATTGTAATGGCCCCTACTGGCAGTGATGCAGCGACCAAAATGCGAATTGGTTGATTGATAAATCCGGATGCCAATCCTTAAATGGAGAACTGATGTTAAAACAAAAATACACAAATTTCGTAACTTTTCCTTGTGGATTCGTTGATTGTCAAGGACAATACCAAACTTCACAAGTCCTAAACCTCTTGTTGATTCACCAAGAATGCCAAGAAGTTTACCACACACTTTGTTGATTCTTTGAGCAAGAATGGCCAATGATCGTTGGAGTGTCTATACCTCGTTAATGCCGTTAGGATATCCGAGTGGATAGAACAAAAACAAGAATGAAAAAGCTCTCTCAAACTGCACTCAGTTTACAACTCAATTCATCATAATCTTCCTCCTCCTTCTAGAACACAAAATACTCAATTTATAAAAGGGTAATGCTAGAGAGACTAAATTTGCGGAGTAAATGATGTGTCACCAATAGGAATAAGCATATTTATCAACATTTAAGTAATAAATCAATCATCAATTTTCATGTTCTTTAGTTTCTAAAACTTTGTCTACAAATTTAGTTTTCCTAACATTACCTTTTATAAAAACTCTAACTCCCTCTTAATATTACTCATAATTAATGCATCATTACTAGAATGAATAAACTCATTAAGTTAACCCCACTTAATCTACCCACTAACATATATTTATTACATTAAATAAAGATTGAGTCATACTAAATCAAGTAGATTAATACAACAAAAACCTTTTGTCGGTGTTAATGCGCTTGTAACTATTCAGGAATATATGCAAAGTACACTGGTTTAAGGCTTATCTTATCTGTAACTGCAAGATTACAACAAAAACGAAGATAATAAAATGGCATTAAGTCCAGGTACAACCTTGGAGAAGCTCCTCACTCCATCAGACACAATTCAATCACCCCATCAATCAATTGCACTGGTTCACGATTATCGTAACATTTCTTGTCAATAATACAAGCAGTTAAAAAATTAATAACATATGATTTCATCTATACTATTATTAAGAAAACCTTCTTTGTAAACCTTTATTTAATATTTTTTTTTCTATTTTGTTAGCACTTTTGATACACACTATTGACAAAAAGGAGGGTAAAATAGTAATTTGAACATTTTGACAAAATGACAATCATATTCCTATTTTTCTTATTTTATCGTCTTTTTTTTTTAGATAATGACAATCATATTTTTCCAATTTTACTCTCAATTTTGATGCACAATATTTAAATAAGAAAGACAAAACAGTAATTATGTAATATTAAAAAAAAATGTACTTATTAAGAAAAATTGTTCAAATATATATAAAATATATGCACACAAAGCTTTTTATATTTGTGCCATATAAGTTTTTTTTTTTTTTTTCCAAAAATGCCACATTGCCACCAAATCAAAGATTCCCAGCCTTTTTTTTCCCATCTTTTCTTTCCTCTTTTGAATAACAATGGCATATCTTCTCCTCATCAATGCCGCACTGCCACCAAATCAAAACATTCCCAGCCTTTTGTTTCTCTCTTTTGAATAACCATGGCAGATAAAAAGATGATTTTTGCAAATCTTTTTATTTCGCACACTTTTATTTATTTTTGTTTATTATTATTTTTATTTATTTAATTTGAAGACTAAAAACGAAAGATGCTGAGAGAGAAAAGGATGTGTGAAAATTACGTTTTAATTTTGTTTGTTAAGCCAATCAGCCAGACATTCTGACATTGTTGGCACGAAGATAATATGATGAGCAAAGGAGAAAATAAGTGTACAGATATTACTTTTTCAAATTTTTATGGTAAGCGGATTTAACTCTTTCTGCACTCAAATTTGAATCGCTTTAATATGTTACAGTTTTGTCTTGTCAATTATACCCAATATCAAAAGATTAAATTCCTTTGAAACTGCTTGATATATCTAGATTAAACCCAATTTCAGGTGAAAATTCACTCATAAGATAAATAGTTGGATCCAAAAAATAAATTTAGCTAATAATAAATTAAGAATGCAAAATTGAAAGCGACCCATATCTCATTGACGACATTATTCTTCCCAGAATTTTACAGGTCACATTTTTGTCAACCACAAACCAAAGAGGAGTTAGAAATTACAGAGATAATAAAAAATAAAAACAAAAATTACATTTCTGGTTCTTTCTCCTCAACTACTTTACTGCTGTGCAGCAACTCGGATTTGTAACTTTCTACGACATGGTCTGGTTGCCCGGCTACATAATCCAGGAGGCCTTCACCGGGTTTGTCACCGGAAGCGTCGGAACCCGGTATCGTGGTCTTCCCGAAGACGACGACGGCGAAGAGGAAGAGCGCGGTGGAGAGGAAGAGGGGCCAGAAGTAGGCCAAAAGGGTTAGAAATCTGGGAGCTATTAGGGTTAGAGAGTAAAGGGCAAAGCAGAAAAGGAGTGCAAAGAGGAAGTGGAACTTGAACTTGACAAGCTTTTCTGGGATCTCCATGAGTTGGGTTTTGAAGAGGAGATTGAAGGTTTGAGTTCGATTATGTAGAGAGAGAGAGAGAGAGGAGAGAGAGATTGTGGGGAGGTTATCTATCTCTCACAGTGCAGAGATTCTCTGAAGGGAAAATGCTTCGTCCTCTGAGCTTTTGTTTTGGAGTGAGTAAAATTGTTTATTTTTCCACAAAGGGTAAATAATCCTTTCATATTTTAATGGTAATTACCTTGCACCTTGTTTACCAAAATG